CACGGAGGTGCAGGACATCCGGCGTTATTGAGCAGGACCTTTAAAAATGGTGCTTTCGGATTAAATGCTGAGTGCCGACAGTAATGAAGGTGTGGGTTAAAGGTCAGTGGTCCTGTACCTGTTCTTCAGAGCCGTGTCCGCCTGCGTGCCCGCACAGAGCAGCATGGACAGGGGAAACTGCTCCCTGCTGTCTCCATCTCCATCCCTTAAGATGTCGAAGCTCAGGCATGGAGCACCTGAACATAAACAACAAGGTAACTTAAGCCCAGAGATCCCACATGCTGGAAGCGTGAACTTCATTGGGAGTAATGATGACTTTAACTTGCCTGTCTGGCACTCGTGATACATGCGGTACGCGGAGCGGTCCATCTCCAGCTCCTCCCCGGGCTCAAGCGGCTCGATCCCGGGCACGTACACTTTCTTCTGCTCCTCTCCCTCTCCCTCTGCCCCTTCCTCTTCCATTTCCACCCCTTCGTCCTCATCGCTGCCTGCTTCGTCCATCTCCTCCATCTCGTTTTCCTCCACGGCGTGCTCACCGGGCGCAGACATCTTGGCAGAGGCACGGTGTGGCGTACTTCCGGTGCAGGCAGCGGCCACGTGGTTTAAACGCCGCTCACCCTCCTCACCAGCGGCGCCCCTCTCTCCCTGTTTACGGGAATTCAGCTGACCTCTTTGGCAAAAGAGCCCCTGTTGCCAGGAAAGACCAGGCTTGCAATTGTTTGTCTCACACTGTAAGCCCTGAGGATCACGTGAACATTATTAGCGTGGACACTGTTAGCGTTAGCTACATGGCAAATGTTCTGTCTCCTCCCTGGAAGATAATTAGCCTTTTGCTTAAGAACATTTGGGATCGTGTCCATGCACCGATCAGTAAAGAGTCTTCACCTCTGAGTCATGATTGTGTGATTTAATGAGATTTATTTGAATGTGCTGTACTACATCTTACGCAGCACAGCCTGGTACTGGCAGGGGGCTCAGCAGTCCCTGCACCACTAATGGGAAGTCAGGCTTTGACTCACAGCTACTCACTGGCAATAATTTATAGATAGTTTTGCACTGACTCTATCAGGGTGTTGGGAAACTGCCATAAAAGCTGCTATGCTAAATTCATAAGAATACTTGGGCAATTTCTCTTATACACGTTTGTCTAAGCATGTGTTTCTTTCTTTTACATTTGTGTTTGAATTTCATTATTAAAATTGTGCCAGAGATTCTCTTGAAACCTTCTCTGCTCTTTTAACAAACACTCACATTTAAGAGATTGTGAAACTACTCGGGGGGTTCTGTCAGGACGAAGGTGTTTCTTTCACGTGTAGCTGAGTACAAGTAGAGACAAGTGCTCTTTTATTACTCATCGAGGTCTTTGACAAGAGCCTTAACATCCCGGGCTGTTCTACCACACATTCCTCTGTCATCTGCAACTGATCTCTTAGACTTTTTAGTTATTTAATTTTTTTTTAAAACTAAAGCTGCAGAATATATTTGAAGAGTTTCCACACAAAGGCTGCCTCTTTACAAGAGAATCTACGGTTGAGTTCACACGAATGCAGACTCTTGCAGTTGGAATGCAAGATTAAACACAAAACGTAATCTCTTAAAAGCAGCAGGGAGAAAACTGTAAACATATAACTCCGACTGATTAAATACTTTGCTGCTGCAAATAGCAGCACCACACTGCAAAGTTACAAATGCAAATTGGGCAAGAATTGCACCTGTGACTGCTCTGCAACTGTAGTTTTATTAATGTCATAAGTTAGTACTGATCATAGGCTACAGTATCATTATGCAGGCATTACAGCTGTAATTGGCAGTGCACTGATTTGAACAACTTCATAAACTGTTGAGTTTTTCCGTGTGCCACAGTGCATAATCATTTTTTACAAATGTGGAGAGAAATGACAGTATTTACCTCTAAAATGTGGCGTAAAAGTGTATTTAAATGAAAAAAAAAAGTAAATATGTATATCCCAACACTTAAGCACATTTACTTAAGCAGCCTAACTGTAAATGTACATTCAAAATACTGTAATAAATATAACACAGACTTTGGATACTGGCAAGTTACACCAAAAGCTAACGATGCATATATCTAAATGTCTTTAATTTATTTTTCTGTACAAAAGTAAATACATATACATCCATTTGTAAACAGTGGCAGGCAATGCCCATTAGCAAGAAGAACATAAACCATAGATAGCTTGCTCTAAATAGTGATGCTATTGGATTACATCTGCGATATCACCTCTTACAGAGCACTGTTGGACGGCGAGACTGGTGGTTTGCTCTAATTTTGTGCATCAGATGTAACACTTGAGTTTCACAAAGCTTACCACACCGAAACACAAAGACAAAAACTTAAGAAAACAGTCATCAGTGCCTATAAAGATATATATAAGACCCTTTTTGACAACTATGGTAGCAAACACCAGTAGAGTCTTAATAATAAGGAGCTCCAAACAAATGCAGAATATGATGGGGGAACCCCACTGGACAGTGGCGGTGTGTCTATAATCCTGCCAGATTTCATATTGTCTACCGCTCTAGTGGTTAAAAGTCTGGCCCTTGATGGGCTGTAGTCCTTCCTTTCAACAGACGGTGGCAAGTTGGGCAGGGTGCATGTTTCAATTGAAGGTGGGCACCCAATTTGAATCCACCGGCTAAAAAGTTCTGATGTTAACTTTAGGAGTTCTTCTGGAGAGGAAGACACCAAGGAGAACTGGGATAAGTCTGTCTCCTCCCGAAACATCTGCAGCAAGGAAACAAGGAAGAGAGATCAGTATTATCAAGACAACAAATCTGACTAACAAAGTCATGTTTGAAACAGCTACTTGATACTGAAGCGAGCAATGTCACGACAAGAAAAAGAGAATACGTACTTCCATGTTTCTGTTCTTGCTAATAATTTTATCCAGTGTCCGTGTAAGTTCCACAACAAGAGAGTGATTTAAGTGTTCCTCCCAGAGGTTTGTCAGGAGCACTTGCCAAGAATCATGGAGGACATACGCAGCAGGGAACACGCAACACTGCGAGGAAAAACAGAGCAACACAACAACCCCAAAATTAGGACTAGCATGTAAAACACATGACAAATCACCGCAAGAACCACACAAGTAACCGTGTTACGAGAGAGGCTGGAGGCCACTTGGGACAACAGACTGTTATTAAACAGAGCATGTGACTTGTTATAGTGGAAGACGACCAAAGAAAAAAAGCAAGTAATTATTCTCTTTAAAAAAAAACCCAAGTGGGCTTCAGGAGAAGGTTAAAATGAACAGGATATATAAGATCTATATGAGCACTTCCTATATAAACAACTCACCGGATCGGTGTCACAGAGCATGTGTCTTGTATATCGATGCACCACATAGTAATCCTTAGGAAACACTGTGCGCTGAAGGAGGGAGAAAAGAGGCAAAGATGAGAAGCCAGATACCCAGAAGGACCACACAGGTCTATATGGACATAGAAGTAAATATTTAGAAACGAAGTAAAGAGAGTTTCACTTACAAAGCCTGCTGAACTCGAATCGATGGTCCCTTTGATATTTTTCACACCTTCCAGGTCAAACTCACATCCACCACATGGGGCAGTTAGTAATGACAGCAACAGTAGAACTGTTGGAGACATGATAAGAGCGAAAGCCACAGAAAACAAGTCACATAATTGCTGGAAACTTTCTGTGGTTTGTAGCTTGTTCAAAGTGCATAGCTACTAAAAAGAACATGACATCATTTCCTGTGTAAATTAGCCATTTCTTTCTTTTTTTTAAAAAAGAAAACAGCAGGAGACACTGGGCTACGATTGCAACATCTCTAATTTAATTAGGGCACCAGAAATGGCTGTGATGTTTCAAAGTGGCGCAAAAAAACCAACTTTGATTCACCATTTAAATCTCACTATGCATTAACCAGGACTGCTGTTTCACTATAATCTCACAGGCATTTAAAAAGGGTGAAAAACAGACAAAAATTTAACATGAAAATAATAGTTTCTCACCTCGCAGTGTCATCGTTTTATCTTGACTGCATGTCCATTTCTCTTGTTGACAGCAGTGACTCTGCAGGCAAGCTTCACTGTCACTCTGTAAAAGGCGAAGCTTCCTCCTGTGGTTTTTTTACAGGTCTTTGAAAGAGCAGGCTTCTGTCTCTTCTTCTTCACTGCTTGATATTTAGTCTTCCTGTTCACATCCCTCAGATCATCCCCTTCTCTTTACTTAGGGTCCTTTGGTACTTTCCATGCACATGCCCCACTTGTCACCTCACATCGACATGCTCTCTCACTTTGGGTTTTCCCACTTGAAGCCAGGGTGGCTGCAGCCTTTCACTTTGAAAGCCTTGTTTTTCTATTTTCCTTTCTAAATCTTTTCTCCTTTCCCTTTCTCACTACTGACCTAGAATTTTCCTGGCCACTCTGTCTCTGTCCCTTAAAAGTGGTTAATGAATAAAGTGCCAGAGCTGACCTCTTCCCCTGGATTTCTCCCTATCCCTCTGTATCCTACTCAGACACAGGCACAGCTCAAAGTGAAAGTGCTCCGCTCAATTCTCCCTTTATGCGTCGGCCACTCCCACAGGCACACGTTTTACCTCACTATTGACTGACCCGTCTCCCTCCCTTCTGCTTCCCACATTCCCCAACACCCCCCCACCCCCATCCTCCCGCTCCCACCCCCATCCTCCCGCTCCCAACCAGGGCCGAAGAGGCTTAGTTATGCAGTCAGAGCATATGTTTTTCATTTGGATTCTTCCCCACACCTCTCTGCCTGTTGATTCTATCAGTCTCTGTCCCGTAAGTCAGTGCGCAGTATCATCCCATTAAGTCATCCATTAACAGTCAGTTTCTTTTAGAAATAAGGATCACATTCATTACATTCCTCGAAGAGCTAACGAGAAAGATTGCAACACTGAATTGCCAGAAGATGCAAGTCATCCCAACACGACTGCTTTCTTTAGTCATTAATGTTAAAATTGGCTTTACAGAGTTGTATGGTATGATTGTGATGATAGCTGTGCACAGCTGTCATCATCCTGTCTGTAAAGTGTTGTTTTGTGGCCCCAGGTTACGCAAAGCATCACGTTGGTTTGGGATATCAGTCAGATGTCAACAGAGGAGTTGATTAATGATGAAAGGAAGGAAGTCGTTATTCTTCATGTTTGTTGGATCATAAGCCAAAGGACAGAGGAAAATTTCTCAGAGAGGCATCTCTACTGACAGGAAAAGGAAACCAGACAGCCGCAGCAAGCGAGGGCTCCATATTCCCCAAGGCATGACTAAATCAAAACCTCTTTACTTATGCTACGTTTATAATGATCGACATAAATATCTAGTCAGAGTGCCGTCTTCCTGGTTCATACTGCATTTAAAATTCAGAGGGAAGTAAATACGCAGAAAATTTGTGAAGCTGCTGCAGATGAAGTCCACACATGTCAGAGCCTAACTCAACAAATGAAATCCAGATTTAATAAAAACAAAAGAAGTGCATTCCTTTAAATAGGAAAAAAAACCCTAGTCACTCCAATATATGCAAACTCACTTTTTCCTTCATAATTAGGACTAAAACACAAGTTTGAAACTTAAAATTTTGGGGTCATGAAATTTTTTTTCAAAAACATCCTCCAACTTAAATAAAGCCACATTTTACTGAGTAAAGTCTGCGAGCTTCAGCACATCAACAGGCTCATATAACTGGCATGGAAAAAACAAAAAAGCAGATCAGAGTGACTGGTTCATTAAAAACCCCAAATCCTGCCGATGTGGTCATCTGTCCCAGGTCCTTGTTAGGCAACACTTTTTGTATGTTTCAGGACTTGGGGGGAAAAATTTTTTTTAAAGTGCTGTCTTACACCACTTAAAGCTTGCTCGCAGGAAGACCTTCAAACGAGTGGGAGGTGATGGAGAAACAAAAGGTCTCCACCTCCGCTTCACTTTCCCTCCCATTTTCTTTCTATTCACCACAAGGTGGAGCCAACCATGGGTCGAGAAAGGATGTCAGGCTCAAAGTTGGTTTTATTTTATTTTAAAACATCAGCAGGAGTAAACAAAGTGCAAAGTCTTTTTTTGTAATAAGCTAAGCTTTACATATCTGTATAAAAAGGTCTCCTATAAGAGTTCCCTTTGACAAATAAAAGCCCTCATGCATTATCCAAACTGATTCTACTTGTTTAGTGAGCAAGATAATCATCATCGTTAGATACACAACAGTTACTGAAAACAACCATAATTGACGAGCGAAACCCTTTGTGTCATCCGTTCACAGTCCTGTCATTAAATGACAAGAATGTGGGTAAGAAAAAACCCCCAAAACTAAACAAATTAATAAAAGAAAACAAAACAAAACAAGGGGAACGTCAAAGAAATGGCATTCCCCCTCATTTCAGCTCCCCTTTCTTTATCCTAATCTCCTCCTCCTCCTCTTCTTTGTCACTGGCTGGGGCTCCTCTCCCCTCCTCGGACAGCTGTCATTAAATGGCTCTTGTATGTTTTGCTAAGTCCAGTCATCCAGTACTTGAGCAGCCTGACGTTGTCCTCTTCTCCGGGCCCCGTAGCACCGAGGAGTGCCAGAACCTTCTGCGTGTCCTCTCTTCCTCGACCGTCCACTTTGGAGAACTTGAACAGCACTTTGACTTTACTGAAAAAACAAATAGATCACACTTAAGACTAATTATGCCTTCCTGAAGAAGACAGAATTCGGAAACACCAAGTTTCCGGTGGGAATCTTTGTGTGGAACGCCCTCTCAATAAGACTTCCCACTTGGAAATATCCTAAGTTAGCAATCCAAGATGGCAGTACTGAATGTAAACAACAGTAAAATTATAAACTTTTAATCTGTACTGCAAGTGTTGTGTGTTTTTGACTCATTAAATAGTGAGCAGTGATCGAGCTCTATCCATTAATGTGTTTTTCCCTGTTTCTCCCTGAATGGCTCTACCTTAATGAGAACCTAAACAAATTCTGTTTTTGCTGGCTTTTTGTAAAATGCGCTGTTCCGACATCCGAGTTCTGAAGTATCTGGAACGTGGCATAAAGGAGCTTTACTCACTTCATCCACTCCTCCTTCAAACACAGCAGGCAGTGAGACACAACATCCACCGACAGGTTCTCATTGCACAGAGCGACCTCCAGCTTGTTCAGTAATGCTGGACCTGGAGAAAGAGGACAAAGATTTAGTCAGTGGAAGAACCATGTGGGAAAGTTGAGGAGAAAAAAAAAAAAAAAAAGAGTCAAGCAAAAAAAAAAATTAAAAACTCTTAGTAGGTGATTGGTTGAACTATTTGTGTATAACCGTCTGCTGTGAGAAAACATCAACAAATCAGACTGATGAACCACAGGATGCAGAGAGCGCGAAAAGGAAAAACAGGCCGCGGTCTGAGTAGCTTTATGAGCTTGCAAGCAGTCGCTGCAACCAGCTACGCAGCAAATGTTTTGCTGTTTACTCGAACGGTTACTCATTCTCATGTTTTAGGTTTCTGTAGCTTTGAAGTTTGTAATTTGGATTTAGTTTTTGACCCTTTCTCAGGTATGCTGGTATGTTTGTTGCTTTTGTGTATTCTGCTGTGTGTGTGTGTGTGTGTGTGTTCCTATATAGTCAGAACCCTTTAAAGGAGGGGTGTCAAACTCGTTTCACGATGCGGGCGACATACAGCCTACTTTGATCTTAAACTCCCCTCTCTGTCAGCGCGAAGAAGTTTAACTTCACGTTTAATCCTGGTATATGTTGGTATAAGTTTTATGACATGATCAAGTAATGGGGCCCTATTTTTGTAAAGGAATCTAGTGTTAAGAAAAAAAGGCTAGAAATTTCTATAATAGATAGTGATTAATGGGAACTTTTTTCATTTATGTTTTACTGAATTAATAGGAATTTATTAGTAGGAATTGCTGTAAAAAACGATGTTCGGTGCACCTGTAAAACCTTAAAACACACCTGTAGCCGTGACTTTCTGACTCTAAGTTCATCATCAGCTCTGATTTGCCCAGAACCAGTTTGGTTTGTCTGCTGGCACAAAGTCTGAAGACGTGTGAGATGGATTCTCTTATATATTCATTCTGTGGAAACAACTAGTTTCTGTTTTCGATGCAAATTCTTCATTTTTTTTAATGGATTCCTTAATGCTCTTGCTGTTTGAGCATTTTTCTACTTTCACTTTAACAGCTGCTCTGACTTAAACAAGGGTTAATGAATCAGGAGGGGGAAAAAAAAATCTGTCCTTTTCACTGATACAGAGTCAGATGATGATAAATGTAAATTTGTAATCTCTATAAATAGATTCTACATATAAAGACGTCTATTTGTAATCTGCTTTTAGTCCAAATGGTATCGACCAATTAGGCTAGAGCAGGCTGGGGTTACATGGCTGTAAGCTTTCTGTGTGAAGAGCAAAGGAAGGATGGCATTTGTCAAGATGGAAACCTGAAAACATCGGCTGCCGTAGAAAATGAAGCTTTTTATTATCGGTCTTTTAATTTACCTGACTTTTTGTAACGAATGAGCAAAAAGCACAGAAAGAAAGCAACGAACAGAAAAACGCCGACTACACAGGAAGCCGTGAAAAAAACCTTTGGCCTCAGAGGATTAATCAGCAGTCAAGCCGATGGGTTCCCAGACTGTAAATTGTGTAACGCTAACAGAGGCAACAAACATGCAGCAAATTAAATCAAGACCGATGTACTCACCCCTGTCTATAGGTTGTGTGTTGGCACTGGTGATGGTGAACTGATAAAGCGAGCTGATGTCGTCTTCTCTTACAGCTGGGATGTGACAGCTTCTCTCTGAGGTGACGTCCACGAGCACTGTAAACTCTGAAGAGCAAATCGAAGCAAAATTATTACAGTTTAATCTGCAAATACACATCTACAGTTTTTGACAGAGAATCTCACACAGCGATCTACAAATCTCAAAGAGCTTCTTGCACCTGAGGAGCTGACGTGAGCTGGAATAGGCACATCGGGGCAGAGACCCAGAAAGTTGCACTTGTAGGCCTCCTCGTACTGAGAGCTGTATGGCACGGAGCGCACACAGCCTACCGGGAGCAAAGACTAATGGGAAAATAGAGAAGTGAGTTAATGGCCGTGATGATACACTGTTTGATCTGGCTAACATTCACACAGCCTCGCTGTCTCTGCTTACTCATTAATGCTATAAGTGATGCTTTTCTGACAACTACTAAAGAAGTGTGGTAAAGTAACACAAACATTACAGTATGAACTTGTCTTAAAATTATATACTGATAACATTAAAAATTTATCTTTCAAGTATTCAAATGAAAAATAACCACAAAGAAAACCCCAGGAGAGCATGTAGTCGCAAAAGAAAAGGTCAAAACTGTGCAATAACAACAGCATTACACCCTCACACAAATAGTAGGTGCGCTCCCCTGCCCCAAAAGTTCATGTTTACCCATATTATAATACAACGCTCTATCTACAAAGGCCACACCACTGGAGCAGAGTACCTTTAGCACTGTAAAAGCTGACTGGATGAGAACTGGATCTGCACCTCTCCATATGACCTGATTTCCCATGAGCACGTGCCAGGCTAGCTGTCGAAAGTCAGGAGCCCCGAGGACCTGCCGAACGAACCACAATGTTTACCAAGCAACAGCTCACAGACATAGTGTATGAGCTATTTTTTAAACCAATATGCATCACTTTACCATATAAATGATTGTAAAAACACGTATTTTTCTTTATTCAATCTCAGTTTTCTATCGCTGTTCATGATTAAGTTGGGTATACATTAGCAAACTACAAATGTGCTTAAGTTCACCTGTCTCAAATGCCTCAGTGACCTAAATTTTGGACCAGGTAATTCATCCAGTTTTGTATCATCGCTCAGGAAGTTGTGGGCCAGCTCGGTCTCTGACAGGTGCCTCTGCGTCTTTGAAGCACCTCCTTCTGCTCCCTCCCAGCAGCTCATTTCCTCCTCTTGCTCTTTAAAACACATGACATTAAAAAACAGAAAAAGCAAATGCTTTCAAGCAAAGGTTCATTACAAATGTGGGGAATTTCCGTAGGAAACTGTGATAAACGGCGGTTCATACACCACACGAGTCATACCTACACAACTATCATCATAGTGCACACATGAGGATAGCTACCCACTGTTTCCAAAACAAAAAAACCAGACTCTGTTAGTAACACCTATGACCTGCACTGCATAGCGACCACATTACTAAGTACAGTGTTTCAACTACTTGGTAACACAAATATCCGGCCAACTCACATGATAGCAACCCTGTTCATTTATTCATGTAGTCATGGTCAACATGACCTGCTGACGTTTAAAGTGATCATCATAATGGGGAAGAAAGGTGATTTATGAGACTTTCAATGTTGCATGGTGGGCTGTGGCCTGATCTTAGCAGTTCAGAAACTGCTGATGTTCCCACACAACCACACAGAGTTTACAGAGAATGGAAAAAAAGAAAGAAGAAAATACCCAGTAAATAAAAAAGAAAAGAAAATATACAGTAAGGAGCAGTTCTCTAGGTGAAAATGCCTTGTTGACATCAGAGGAGAATCACCAAAACTGGACAACTTCCAATTGGAAACTTGGAAAAATACTGCCTACTGATGAGTCTCACTTTCCGCTGCAATATTCAGATAGTAGGGTCAGAATAAATAACATGAATCCATCCTGTCTTTCATCAACAGTTCAGGCAGCTGCTTGTGGTTTGGCCCACATTTTTTGGACTTCTTAGTACCAATAAAGAACCATTTAATTGCCACAGCTAAGATTGGTATTGTTTACTTATTGTTATAAATGCATTGTCATAAATCTGAAGATACTGTGTGATGTTGTCATGTCATTATGAACCAAAATCTCTGAGGAATGATTCCAGCACCTTGATGAATCTTTGTCACAAATAATTAAAGCACTTCTAAAGGTAAAACAGGACTCAACCATCTCCTAGCAAAGTCTATGTAATGAGTGTCCATTTGGTGTATAAATGAACAGATTCTTGGTCAAATGACCCAGAATAGGATTTAAAATTACAGAGCTAATACTGTCAGAGAAAGTTTCACTGTAAATGTTGGGTTTCTTTTTTTGTACATGATATTACTGAATACTGACTGGAATTGTGTAAACTCTCTGGAAAGTTGGGATGCTTTAGTGAATCACCGTTTTTCTGGCGTCTCTCCACAGACTCGTCTGGTGAGTCACACTTTCACCAGAGCTTTCTCAGTCAGATGATAACAACCATAAGCATGTTGTTCAAACTAATGACATGCTGTCATGAGTTTAGGTTAATTTAGGAACAAAATGAACCTAACCACATCTAAAAGAAGTGGTTTTTAAACTTTTTCACACACGTTCCACTTCAGAAGCTGAGTCAAGGTGACACTGCACATTTTTTTAAACCAGTCATCAACAAGAAAAAAAGATGCACGTTGAATTTTGTTTAAAAGCTTCAGCAATTTACATCAGAAATCTCCTTTTCGCCTATTTTCCTTTTAAATGCATTTTTTTCAACTTCATATTTTTCATCTGGTTGTCTGAGCCCCACCTGTGGGACCTCCAAGCGCCACCAGTGGGACATATAATTCACTCAGAGAACCACAAGAATTTGCTGGTTAGATTATCCTTCTGCACTGGAACACAGTTCATGTTCCAGGGTAGAATAATTGCACAGCCAACATCTTTAATGACTTTAAAAAATAAGAATTGGGTGCACCAGTTTGGCTATAACTGGTGCACCCAATTCTTATTTGGCTATTCACTGTTGCGCTGAAGGTTCTACAAAGTCTTTACTTGCCAAGCCCTATTAATTTTCTCTCGTTGCCAGCATAAAGAGATTTGTTTGACAGCACTCATTGGATGAACCACTACTCAGAACAATGGGAAAGTCAAAGGAACTCAGGGAAGATCTAAGAAGAAGAACTGCAGATTTACACAAGCTGGGACGGTCTCTTGGATCCATTCTAACCAACAGATCAGAAAATACACAGATTCGAAGGTTATCAGTTAAAACCATTGTACGCAAGTACAAATTATTCAGATATGTCACCACTTTACCAGGTTCTGTAAGAAGTCACCGTCAGTTGATACTGGAAGACTTGAGCCAGGAAGCACCAAGGCTCAAGTCTGCCTTGAAATGTCAAGCATTGTGCTGTAAGACCTTTTGACTGACAGTCAAATAATAAGTTGTACAAAGTGGATAGGATAATGAAGAAGGATGACTAACTCCACACAGTTGGTATTCCCACAGGATAATGATCCTAAACACATCAAACCTGGTTTTGGAAGGGATAAAGCAGGCTAACACTAAGCATCTGAAATGACCTTCCCAAAGCCCTGACCTCACTCAGAAAATCTGTGGACTATGCTTATAAGCTGAGCTGATTCAACGAACCAACAAATCTAAATGAACTCTGCCAAGAAGATGGGTCAACTACCCAGCCCCCAAAATATGCCAGATACTTATTGAGCAATTAAGGTGCAACTTCCTAAGGAACATTAAACCAAATTTTAGAAGGAGTGTATGTATATATTTGAGTCTGTATGTATACTTTTGACACTGTGTGGATTCGAGAAAATCCCAAATAAATTCAATCTTGTACATTCAGTTCTTGCTTTTTAAAGTCATTAAAGATGTATGCTGTACAGTCATTCCACTGTGGAAAAAATAACAGTTCAAACGAATCATTTAAAGCCCAAAATTACTATGAGATTCATGTTCATGATGAGTGTATGCAAACTTCTGATCACAACTGTATATGCATAAATAAATATCACGCCTCTTAATCGAGGTCAATGCATCTACCCGTTTGTCTCTCTATGAGCACCAGAGTGTCCTCGGTGGGGGCTCCTTCCAGGAGCTTCTCCGTCAGACGGCTACCACAAGCTTTAAGTAACCTGGAAGTGAGGTGAGACCACTCATTAGCCGGGTGAGAGACTGACTGGAAAAAGAAGAACAGTTTCTTTGAACCTAATGACTCACCAGCTAAAGGAGGAGTGCAGGCTGGCCCAGAGGTTAGGATGCTGGGTGAGCGAAGTCAGCGATCGGGCTGCATTGCCGCTCCTTTGGTGTGGAAAAACTGCAGGTGAAAATGCACTGTTCATCCTCACAGCTCGCTGGGGACAAACTCCCTGTTCATTGTCAAACACCTAATGGAAAGGACAGTCCAAAGACATCAGAAGCACTAATAAGTCTGCTGAGTTTATTATGTTTATATATGTGCTCTACCTTTAGAGCTGTGCTCTGCAGACTCTGTATAGTAAGCTTGAGGTGACGCAGCAGGAAAGGCCAGGAGTTTATAAGGTAGATTCTGTCCATGGCTACCATAACAATACTGTACCAACGCTGGAAGCCTCTAGCGAGACTGTCTTTGATAAAGAAGGTGTGTGAGAACACAAATCCATGTTGCTCGTCTCCAAAAAAAATGGGCCCTTCACGTCCGGGACACACCTGACACCAAAACAAACAGAAAACATAACGAAGTATATCAGTAATCAGCTGATTGAAGCCCACAGACAACACCCACATAAACATGTCACTAATTACCTCACAGCTGAGACTGCGTACGCAAGCCTGTCGGACCACGCTGAAAAGCTGGGGCTGTCTGGGGTGCTGGTGGCTCAGGAAGCGGATGCCTGTTTCATCATCAATGCTAACAAAGCCCGGGTGAGATGCAGGCAAGGATCGGCAACCCTACGAGACAAAGAAAAAAGGAAATCAGTACTTTAAGGCTGAAAATTAATGAAGGAACAAATGAAGCGAGGGATCCAAGCATCTGATAAAGTCACAGTTAGGCCCCTTCTACTCACCTCACACATTTCTTTCTGTGTGGCTGAGCTGTTGGCCTTCATGGTTAGACCTTCACCATCACGGTCACCATCTCGGTCCCCTGGCATTTGGGCACCTACCTGGGATGAAGGGGATGGGGAAGGCGGGTGTAGTGCCTCAGTGCAGAACAGGGTTCGAGGGCCATGGAGCTCACAGAAGTGACAGAGAGCCACCAGAGCATTCATCTGAAAGAACAAGACAAGTTTTCATATGTTTACTGTGCTAAAGATGTCTGATTTAGATCAGGACACCTACATCTAGTTCTGGTTAATCACTGACGTTACCAGATTACACTGGGGTTAAAATACGGGTACAAGTGGCAGTATGAGACGGTCTTACCTTCAGTGCAGAACCACGTTCAACAAATGACTGGTGACACTTCACAAAGAGGTATTCATTGGACGTAGTGTTCAAAAAGCCGTGCCGTTAAAAAAAATAACAGCGCCGTGAAACAAAATCAAATCTTCATCGAGCCTGTATTTTAAAAAGCCATCGTTCCTAACATTTTAATTGAGGCTTTCTACACTTTTTTGTCCTCTGTGTAGCTGCCAGCAGGCAACAAAAACAGATCTCGTCACATGATGCAGAGTCACGCGCTCGGGAACAAGTGACGCGTGGCTGCCAACTGCTGCTCATTTTCTCAGTTTTATCCGTCGAATCAAAAACATCTTTAATGCTTTACCAGTGACGCGAAAGCACGCGAACATATTTAAGAGTTTTTCGACTTTTCTGTGTTCCAATATCAGGCTTTATGTACGACAAACGAGCCATTCCTCGGCAAACGAAAAAGTAGAACTACATTACCCATAACCCAATCTGGTATAACAAACAAGGGGTTAAAGGGCAATAAAAAGAAAAAGTCGGAACTGTTTTCATTGAAGGTTTGTGTACTAAAAGGTATGTTCCGGTTGATTTATAAGCGTATATATGGTTTGAATATGCTATCTTAGCAGACTAGCTGGTTTATTAGCTTTTCTTTTAACACTGTACAACGTTAATCCGTCACTTCCGCATTAAAACATGAAGTTTTTATAGGTGTGTCACTCTTAAGTGGTCAACAAAGAGATAACTTGCACACAGTGACACGGCAGATTTTTCTGACTTTTAAATCTCAGATCTTAGGATGACTTCAGGTGGATCAGGAGTTCCCCCCACCGACCCGACTGACACACCGAGTCCACAGGCAGGGGTCCCCGCTGACTCTCAGAGTGGCAAAGACACCCCAAAAGCCAAAGGAGGTAAATCAGTTTCGCACATTTACTATATGTAATCTAAAGTGAGTCTGTGAAAGCTTCTAAGGTGGTTTGAAACATATCTTGTTATTAGACATGTACAGTAAAACCCTGCTGGTTGACTCATATGATTACACCAGCTTATTATTTTCCTAGTAATCCACTTATAAATCATATTGTTCAGCCTGTGGTGTGAGTTCTGGCCAGGTCTTAGTTTTGTAATCGCGTGGCCGGATCCTCTTATCATCAGAAGGGGGGCTGAAGGATGGAGTCCAGTACTGTATTGAACTGTTTCCTACATTTTTCACGTCCTGCTGGGCCACTCTGCTTAGCTGGAAATATTTCAGGATTGACTGACTCTGATCTGCCCGCTTCTGCTCCCACTCGGAACTCAGCGGACTAATCTGTGGATTAACTTTATGTATACTAAAGAATTTCAAAGTTGTAATGTTTAATTTTATGCTTAGACATTTACTTATAGGCATTCAATTTAAGAGAGTTGAAAACTCTCCCAAAACTTGTGGCTGATCCAGACAACCATCTCCCTTTCTAATAAATAACTCAGAGCTAATAAGTAAAGTATTTGTGTCATGAGTCACGTCCATTTCTCCTGTCTCTAAATAGTATTGCAGGATGCGTGTTATTTGGGTGTAAAGGCAACTTCGTCATGTACAGCATACTTGGCTGACATTTGAGTCCTCTGAGTTGAGTCACTGTCACCTGTCATATGATAATACTCAGTGGAAGTGGACTGGAGATGGACTGTACACATCATTTTCTCCATGCCTCTTTCTCACTCATTTATTTATGACACAGCATAGTAACGGGAATGATAAGAGGGTTTTCTAATAAATTAACAGACGATAAGGAATCCTTTTTCCAGATGTCTGTGTGAGTGACACAGATTGATGCGGAAGCTCATATAAGGCATCAGCCAAAATGTAAACACACGCAGAAGCAAACGGTGAAAATCTACATGAACAAAAATCAGAAAGAAAAGTACTGCACAGCTCTCATGGCTGATCTGACAGGTGCTCATCGGTGGTAGCAGTAGGAAAAAACAAAATCCAAGAGAACTTGCTCAGTATTATGTGGTGCAAGGATAATCATATACAGTAAAAGCCCTGTGGTACTTCATCAGGATCTCAGATTTTTTTCTTCCACTTTACTTTAAGAATGAACTTAAAACTTGTAATTTTACCAGAGGCCAAAGTGGCTCATTTGTTTTCTATGGTTACAATTACACCACATAATTTTACAAATTTTTCATGGATTTTGTTCTAAGTAGAAACATACTACATCTTCTGAAAGTATGGTATAAGTAGCACATGTGTGATCTGATATTGTTCATTTATCATTCATATCGCTTTGCTGAACACTTTAACAGCCACTACAGTCTGATAGATGAAGATAGTTTCACTGATAGTGAAAAAAAACTACTATAAACTAACAGGGTGTAAATTTCCAATGTTTTACAGCTGGAATCAATGTGAAGAAATACAATCTTAGAACTCGCAGTTTTTGGAAGTTGGACTTTTTGTAGGATTCAGCGTAGCCCATGACCCAGTCACACAGGGTCAGCAAGGAAGTACATTTGGGTAGTGATGTTGTTTCTTATGAAACTCACATGTTTTAACATTAAAACACCATCACCTCTGTGGATCGGTTAAATGTGAAGTAAAACCCTGGCTTGTTTTGCAAAGAGAAAGCACAACTGAATCAGGAAGAAGCTAAAATGAAAGGTGTCTGTCTAAATTTGGCAGAATTCTTGTGAACTTGCAGACTGACACCAGCCACACTGTCTCTTTTTAGAGATCTAAAGAGGGGCACAGCATTTTTACAGCTACAATTTAAAAAAAAAAAAAAAAAAAGATTCATAATATAAATCTAAGTCAGTTATGCTAATAAATTATGCAGCAATCTTAGCAGAAGATTACAAGTTTCTCACATTGACTTTTTTGGCCTGTGAAAATGAACAAGGGGCCTGGGTAAAAGTCAGCTCTACGGTTCTAGTGGTCCAATGGCGAAAAACATTATTTTGAGTACTGCCTTATTGTAGCAAAGACGGGTACCTAAAATTACGAGTGACCATATAAGATGTAACATGCCTTGGGACTGCTTTAAACAAAACCTGTTGATCTCTTCTGCCATTACATTGTTTTTTTCTGACATAGTTTGAATGCAGAAGAAAGGGTGAAATGCTGCATGAATTCTGTTCAGTGTTATTAAACGTTGGCTCTTTTTATTTTTAACCTTTTGTTCTGTCTCTCCCTCTGGTGCCCTGTCTTTCAGAGTCAGCAGAATGTTGCAAGGATGGAGCCAAAGTGTGCCAGTTTTTCCGGATAGGAAAATGTCATTTTGGCCTCAGATGCCGTTTAGCTCACAGGTTTGCTCTCCTTACTTTATCCAGAAAAGTCATCAGAAGTATAAATGAGGATTTATAGTTTTTTCCAGATCATTTCTTGGCATCTTGTGGATTTATTTTCAAAATTAACACAAAAGACTTTGGAAATTATTGAAGAATAGCTGCTGTTTATCTTCAGATCACAGATGTTAGAAGCTTGGTTTGGAGACAGAGAGACATGGATGTAAATATCTTTGGAATGACCTTTTGTCTGCATTTTTTTTTTATCTGCAGGACAGTTGGCTAGATATGATGAATACTCTCACTGATGAAATTTCTGTCTCAATCTCCTTGTCTCTGCATTTTTTCCACTGCTGCTCTCTTTCTTAGTGACCCATTACAGGATGATTCAGGGGCTCTGTGTCCTGGTGTGGATGAAAAACAGGAAGAAGAAAAACACAAGAACAAGAAGGGCAGTGTGAATAAAGTGCCAAAGCCAAAACACAACGAGAGAAGAGGTGACTCTGCATTTATGTAACTTTCTGTGAGATCATACTTCCATGAGACCAATTACGCTTTATACTCTTGGAACTTGTCCGTTCACTTTTTTTTAACTGTTTCTCTTCAGCAGAGGTGAACAAAAAGCCTCGTATGCGCACAGCAGATGAAGTGATCTCCCGGATCCTGTGGGACCCATCGGTGGACGCATCAGAATTTGTAGTGGGCTATGTGGATCGATTCCTCGGCGTGCTGGAGCGCCCCTTCTGTGACTTCAACTGGGAGACCAACCCGTGTGACTGTGATTACACTGTTGAGCTGGCCCTGCCCAGACACAGGATCCAGTACTTTACTTACAGAGGGCACCGTGTCTGGGACCGCCACACCAGGACTGACCGAGTTTTCGGTTCCACAGGTCAATCTCTGGCTCCCCCCTTTGGAGGGGAAGAGGAAGTAAGAGGTAGGACAAGCAGCTTTGGTGCTGCCAGACCTTACATGTGACCACATGCATTCTGCAAGATGACTGAATGTTACGTTTTGTTTTAGAAGAAAATACAGCAGCGCTTGAAACAACTAACGAGCAGCCACCTGCAGAGGAAGAGAAGCCGAATGAGACAAATATTCACACCCCTGAGTCTGCACCACCACCACCACCACCACCACCAGAGTGTACAGGAAACACTTCTCAGGAACAACAGGAGTCACGAGGACCATGTGTTGTGGAGGAGGCTGCAGATAGGTCTGGTGTTCGTGTTGCTCGTTTAAATATAACTCAGAACAGATCTTAAGTAAAAGAACCCCCACCCCCCCCAAAATCATTGTTAGCATCTACACATTGTTTTCCCAAATCACTTTGTACAAAATGTTAAAACACTTAAAATGCTTAAGATGCTTGAGGATCTTCAGCATCAGTGATTTGAGGCAGAATATAAGGGTGGGGGTATATTATAGTAAGAGATTTAAATCAGACCGTTTCTGATTGGAGCATTCAAATGGCATGTTACTATCTAGAGGTCTGAGGACCTCCACCCACATCTCTTTCACTCACACCTCTGCATCAGGAAGACGAGAATAAGAGAAAAGCTGTGTGTGTGTGTATGTGTTAGTCCCCATAGGGAAATAGTTCCTCTGCATTTAACCCATTCACCCAGTGAAGCAGTGGGCAGCCACCAATGCAGCGCCCGGGGAGCAGTGTGTAGGGACGGTACCTTGCTCAGGGGTACCTCAGGGTAGCCGTTCAGTGGAGCCGAACCCCTGACCTTCCGATCATGGGGCCACCACTCTACCTACTGAGCTATCCCTGCTGAGAAATGCACTCCAGTTATAGCTTGCCTTCCTCAAATAACAACCTCATTCAGGCTTTTGTGACACATGTTAGGTATGTAACAAGCTGTAAGAGAATGAAAAGAACTTGCAATTAGAAGTTTGAATGGATTTTTCAAAATGTGTGTTTACAGCTGGCTCTTTATTGATTTTGCTCACCTGCTTTGATTTCAGACATCAGGTTTCAGCTGATCAGAGTTCCTCAACCGAAGAGGAGGCACTGGGTGTAAAAGAGGAGGGTGAGGGGGAGATTCTGCCAGAATGGGAGGAAAGCTGGGAAGGCCATGAAGACTGTATAGTGAGTACAGCACGTCTTGCCGTGAAATCTTGCTTTTACACTGTATGTTATGTTATTTGAATGTTCCCTTTCTACTACAGAGTTATCCTGCAGCCCAACAAGTTAGCAAGAATCCATCTGTACCTCTGGAGCAGAGAGAAGAGAAGCGTGGTGGTCGCCCCCCTAAGAAGAGACCCACACACTTCATCACCTTCCGGGCCAACACTCCTGCCATCCTCTCCTGTTTCCAGCAGTTGCAGAAGGAGCTCACCTCCCTCATACCTTCCTCTGCTCCTCACTGGCAAACCGCCTCCAGCCTTCACGTCACCCTGTGCCTCCTGGTGCTGCACAGCCCCGCTGAGGTGGCGGCTGCTGGGGAGATCCTCCAACGGTTTGCACAACTGGACCGAAACCCGCCGGTAGCTGTGACCTTTCCTGTGAAGCTGAAACATTTCAATGGGAAGGTGCTGTACGTGAGTCCTCAGCCTCAGCTCCACCTACAGCAGCTCAACAGCGGTCTGCAGGAGGCCTACAGGAAAGAGGGTTTTCTTCACAGGGACTCCTACAACCCACGCTACCACCTCAGTCTGGCCAGGGTACTGGACAGGGAGGCCGAGAGGATATTTGAAGGTGTGGGGGACCTGAGGGTGGGGAAGGGCTTAAACTTTGGGCGTCTGCCAGTTAACACCTTACACCTTTGTGCCATGGGCGGCTCTAAAGTAGACGGTTTTTATGAGAGGGTGTGCACGGTAACACTTCGATGATAAAGAAGTCTGATTTGCAGACATTACTGGGTGCAATAAGCCACGCCTTTAAGGTGTCGCGGATAAATACAACAAAATAAAACTAGTACCGGTACCGAAAAAAGCAGATTTATTCATCACACACGTGATAAGACCTGAAAACCGAGTTAACGATAAAAACGATAACAAAATAACGCTGAAAACCGATAAAAACCCTGAAAGCCATACATTTCACACCTGAGCCTCAACTCTCGCGGCCCGGTACCAAACAACTCACGGACCGGTACCAGTCCGAGGCCCGGGGGTTGGGGACCGCTGTGTTAAGGTACTAAATCTCATGTTTCATATTTCTAGATGAGATATAGAGGAAAGAAAAGGGCGGGGATGAGCTGTAAACATCACTAAAGCTTAAAACAACATCCTGGCTACAATACAACATATAAATAATTAATCCACAATTTTAAAAAAACTGCTTAAGGTGCTGAAGTTTTTAGAGCAGCAGTCCATTTTAAAAATGTTAGCTCTGGTTCTTTTAGCCATGGATCTTTACTGCACAGTTTTCATGTTATAGTGAATATGCTTAAATTCTGGTTCACTGGTGAATTCAGTGGTTGTGATGTTTTATTTGCTACAGCTAATCATATTTGGGAAAATCCAGAAACGAATCCATAATTGTTTAATAATCAATAAGCCAAATAATGTTTTGCTTGGAGAGCCTTTTTTATGTAGAGACAGTAAAAACCATGAAGAACTGTTTGTGCAAACATGAGCTGGTGCTCAATAATATTTATGTCTAATTGACTCGGGACCATGAGTTTGATAATATCAATATTGTTTTTATTTCTATGAAGAACTTTAAGAATGTTTTAATTGGTCATCTGTTTTTCTTGGTGCAGAAATGCTTGTTATACTTTATATCTGATGGGCCTAATGATTGGGGTTAACTTTGACCTGTAAGCATGCTTAATTTACACTGTTTTACTACTGCACAGACAATAAATTTGAAGCTGATTATGGACATAAAGTGTTCTTTTTATAGGCCTGAATAATTGCTGTTCATAATTCAGGGACTTGTACAATGGGTTTTATATGAATGTTGCATGGACTGCGCTCCAACAGAATGATCCCTTTGTACTCTTTTTACAAATGATTATGACCACTAGATTATCATGTGGATTAAATATTGAATTTGTTATTTTAAAGTCGTGTGAGTGGTGATGTGCCAGCGCCGTTATAAATGCCTTCATTGTGGTGCCGAGGATGTGGAAACGCTCCCTGAGCTGAAATCTTACATGCATCCCTTTCTGCTCCCCCTTCTTCTTCCTCCCAGATACATAAACACTATACATAGAGTATATGAGTCAGTGAGTATGCTCTCTGGCTCTCAATCGTGTCTGCACTCCCTCCCTTGCATTATCTCCCTTCCCCCACTCTTTTTCAGTGACACAGAAAAACTAACGCCGCCCCCTCCCTCTTTGCTCGCCTGCTTCTGCCCCCCTTACTCCAGTGGCAGACAACACCGTACTCTCTTTTTTTTTTTTTTTTTTTTTTTTTAAACTCGTTCTCGCTGCAACATTATGTCGTCAATTTGCATTTTCTCAGTCCAATCCCCCCCACCCGCGACCCAACTGAACATCTCCATCCGTGCACTCCCATCACTTGTGTCACGTTGTTGCACATTCTCCGCTGCCTCCCAGTCTCTGAATCACTGTTGATGTTGTCCTGCAGCCTCCGCTGAAAACTGGTTTTGCCTACAAATCCATTGCATGCTGCTTTGCCCCTCTCTGTTCATTGTTCACTCCATCTCTGGCTCCCTCCCTCTTTCTCTCAGCATCACTCCCTGGGAACCCACTTTTTTTTTCTCTTCTACTCAGTATTTCATGTTGCCTTTCTCTGCATCTCCCACTCCCCGTTTTCTTCTCAGTGTGCCTCTCTTCCCCCATTTTTCTGTGCATCTCTTCCTCTCATTAGCCCTCATCAGACTGAGAGAGGAGTTCACTATTGTGTATCCAGCGTGTGAGTGGATTTCTAAAAATCTCTTTTTCCTGATTTGTTTAGTGCACACAGTTGGCCGGCAGCTTTGCATTTTTACTCTTTCTCTTGTTAATCTGGTCAGGGTTCAGTCTGGTGCTCTGGAGAGAGATTGGTCAGGTTGATGTTGGTGGGGGTCGGCATTAGAAGTGCGCCCCAGCTATGAAGTCAGCGAGGGGTTAGACTCCGCTAATCCGCGTTAACAGATTAATTATCTTTGGGTAATATCGTGTCACTGCGGTGTTGTGAAGTCACTCGGGTGTTAGGCTATGAAGGGCTACAGTGCAACGATAAAGAGTCCCTTAGGGGTGTCTCCTCAATCTTAATCCCCCTTTCTCTCTCTCCCTCTCTCTCTCTCTCTCCCTCTCTCCATCTATCTCACTCTCTCCCACTCTCACTCACTCGCGCTCACTCAGAGATCCTCTCCCATCCATCAACACAAGCACCTCTCTACTGTCATCAGACGACCAGACACTTATCGGCCATTTAATATTTAAATAACTACCAGAATTGCCGTCTTCATTTTTGTGCTTTTTGTCATACTTTTGGCATGTCTCCAAGCCATTTTTTCAGGATGATGTTTTCTCAAGAGCATCAGGCGGTGATGGCTGGCAGTATACCTCTCTGAGTGGTTAAATATTTCACGGACGCCGGCAAAGAGAAGAGACAGAAGGAGAGAGAAACCTCCCAACACAACCGACAGAGGTAAGAGACTGACCCCTCTCTTTGCCGATTACTGGCTTAATTGCTGATGTACATGCAGAGATTGGCCAATTAAAAATGTACATTACGCCAAATCACAGTGTTTTCCCAATTTGGGCTCACGCTTATCTTGGCAAATATGATTAATGGATGATCATGACACCATTAGACTGTGTTGCCAAAGGAGATCCATGCTTATCTTTTCCAACCATGACACTTAATATGGGTCTGCTGCCTATCAGAGTAATGTGAAAATGCTGTAATGAGTTTTATTGCAGTTTCTCAGGGAAATCCAATGTTTTTTCCACCTAATTGGAGTTTCATATGACTTGGAGCTTATCTTTTTTCATGATTTTCACCATCTGCAGGATGATTTACTGTCATCAGTGGGAACAAACTGTCTCACCCTCAACTTCATGCCATGCTGGACCCCTCGCACACATCACAGCTTTGATTTGCACTGACTTTCTGAGTACGAGCTGCACTCGCTTACCTTCGGTCAGCTGACTTTGAAGGTTCATTGTTGCAGCTGAACATTAATTTTGAACATAGATGTGAGGTAGAAATTTATTTTGAGGTTTGACTGTCCCTCGGCTTTTACATGGGCGAGAGATTCAACTATACAGAGATGTTACTGAATTTCTTCTGGCTGATGAAGTGTCAAGAGGTTTTTTTTTTTAATGTTGTCTCATAAATTCTGGTTATCAAGGTTGGTTTTAAGAAGCTCCACGCACAGGCTGTTATGTGAACGATAACAGGTTTTATGAGCCCAGACTGCAAACGAGCATAGTTCCAGCAGCAAGCCAACAGCATTATTTATATCTTGTGATTCAAAGAGATGTAGCCTCATAAAAAAAAGAAAAGGTGCAGAATGATTTTCCTCGTGCTAAAGATGATCCTAAATTCAGCTGACAGAAGATGCTTCAGCCTTATTCCCATTAGCTGCCTCACAAAATGGCCCTTTTTAAAAAAAATTCAGACATCATGGAGTCTCGTATAAACCAACTGACTACATCATCTGTGTTTTCTGAGCTCTGCACAGACAGAAGACAACACATTTGTTCTCCTGCTTTGTTTTCTTTTTATTTATTTATTTAGTTAGTTAGTTAGTTATCTCTCAGAGCTCAGAGCCATGGTGAGAATCTGTGGTTTTCCTCCATCTCTTTCATTGTCTCTCGTGTTCTTTCCTTCTCCTTTTTTCATCTTTTCTCTCCACCAACTGTGCCTAAAATCACATTTATTTGCCTTCAGTTACGCAATGGTAGCTGGCATAATAACAAGCTGGCAGGAAACATCATGTCAACTTGAGGGTTTTTATCTATGACAACTGCTGAGTAACTGGAGCTCCTCCTGGACTGTAACCACCCCCCACCCCCTCCCGTTAAACTTCCATCAGCGCCTCGTTAGGTGTTCCTCTACTTTTTGGGTTGCAGCAGAATCCTACCTGAACTTTGACCAGACATCTGTCATAACTGTGCATTTCCTCTTTCTCTCACCCTGACCGGCTTAATTTTGTGCATGAATTGATCCAGATAGCTGCGCTCTCAGGCTATTGACTCATATCTCTTTACCATTAACTATTCAGCAATGGCATTTATGTGAGGTTTTCTGCTTCTGTTACCACTGATGGGTCTCACAGTGACATTCACTGCATTGTTGTTCGTCAAAGGAAGTGCTTTTCCACGCTGACCCACTTTTCATCAGGTTCTCCTTTGATGTTGAATTAGTCCTTTACTTGTTATGGATCTCAAAGAGCTTTTACCCTCAAAGTCTGATAAATGCATCTCATAGACATGCTTCAATATAGATAACCTAATAAACACACTTAAGATAAATGGTACAGTAGGAAACGTAATACTGGATGACTTACTACAGAAGTCTGTTTACACTGCTGATTTGTGTTGGATGGATGTAGTTCTCACAGTGTGTGAACCATTATGTTCAGCACAGTTTTAATAAGGGAAATGGAGTGTTGGCTGTGATTTGATTTGTGACAGTTGGGCTGCTGGAACCATTAAGGTGAACAGGCTTATTGTAATGGGCTTAGAGAAGCCCTGTCTGCCCCGTGGGTGAGCCGTTAACTCGTTCTGGGCCGCAAAAATCTGAATGGCCAAACTGTTCGGGCTTTGAATGTGACATGTGACAAAATCCAAACTTTTATCACGCACAGTATTTAGTACAGTTATGTGCAGTGGCTTGTAAGAACCAGAGCCACTGTGTGGGTGACTCAATAGGGAGAGTGAAAAAAGTCTCTCTTAAGTAGAACAGCTACTGGACAAATCACAGTGGCTTTAAAACATAGAAATCCAACACAGGCCATCAGTTCAGGGTCTCTTTTGTTATTGAATAGTGATTAGAGGCAGAGTTGTATCGGTCTGTGATATCAGCATTGAGCTGCTCTGTATAGCCTCTATATTTAAGTGACAGTGCTGTTGTTGTGAATGGTTGTCTCTCCTGCCGCCTAAAAATGCTCCTTTGTCGAACAGTAAAGCTCTGACGGTCTCTTAATCTGGGCAGCCGGTATCAGAAGCCTACCAGACTCTGTCTTGCCCTCTGTTCCATCTCTGCTCCTTTATTGTAATGAGTATTCCAGTGTGTGTTTTAGCTAACCGGATTTGCCCTTTGTATTTACCCTACTTTCACCCCCTCCCCTTGACCAGCTTTAGTAAGATGCGCTGAACAGTGGGGGAGATGGTCAAGAATTGTGCAGCCTTTTCTCTTTCATAGCCTTCACTGTACCTTGTTTGCGGTTTTTCTTTACTTTGTACTCCAGAAAACACACTTTAGAGACCCCGAACTATACGTTCCCTGCATGCAGAGGCTTGTCACTTACTACTATTCATTATATTAGAGAAAGGAATGGCATAAATAACAATGTTATCTATGTTTCTTTAAGTCAGTGCATTTAAATCTAATTGTATTTGCTTTTTGATCGTATTTTATACTTTATTCAATATTACAAGTGGAGAGAGACAAAATAAATGTGAGGAAAGAGAGTCAGTATGCATGAAAGTCTAGTCTGCCAGATATTGAACCGGGGAGTCAGCGCTGACCGAATTTATGCCCATGTGGTCTGTGGCTAACCAAACAACTGCCAGTTGGCCCTATGAAAGATCTCTTTCTTTGCAACTAGGCAAAAAAATTAAGAAAATTTGATTTCATCTCTAAATATTTTTGTCACAAAACTCCACATATTTTAAGTTTTTTTTTTCTTAATTTATTTCGATCATGTAAACAATATTCAAAGTGTATTTAGCAAAGAAAAGAAGAGAAAAAAAATGCTATACATATTAAAGCTAATGCATTTCAATATTGCTTCAACTGTTACAGATCAAAAAACTAGTGGGAGGAAGTACACATTTATTTAATCCCACCCAGAAACACAGAAAGATCTCCTGATCATGTATTAATGGAATTATTTAACATTTAATTTGATCAATAGACCAGTGAAACTAACAAAACAATGTTTTAAACTTAAAGATAAAAGGTAAAAAAGGGAAAGTTGCCAACAAAATAGTAACATTTTAAAAATCTTTAGCAAAGCTTAAAAACTAATCAACAAAATTATAAAAGTGTAATAAAACTGCAACAATTAAAAACCAATAAGAGCAATGGTTAGGAGGTAATTAAGAGCAACACAAACGATGAGGCACCTTAAGCAAAAGCAACACCAGAAACATACGTTTCTTTAAAAAAAGTAGAATATCTCGGATGCTGAGACTGATTGTGTCACAGCTTGGAATCACAGCTGCTTTGGACTGATCGAGTTTTCTACTCATCTCAGGCAATTGTTTGTCATGAAGTCTAGTTATCACCTGCAAATGATGCTTGAAGACATTAATAGTAACCTCTCTTTCCTCTCAGCTTCACCTTGTGCTCAGGAAGACCTTCATCCCTCCTGAACCTCTTTGCTCTCTTCCATTCTTCACATCCTGGTTATTCTGACCCCTCTTTCTTGCCTCCCATAGGGTGGAGGAGGGGACTGGTGGCAGCAGAAAATGGCTACCATGACTACGGTACCCAGCTATAACCCTTCGCTGTGGGTGAGAATGTGTCACGCCCTGCCCCGGCTGGACTTCTCCATGCAGATGAGGGACAACGTCTTTGTCCCTGTCAGCTGGGAGTACCAGCAGGTAACCGACACCTGCCACTCGTGCCACACTGTAACCACATGCTGTGCTGTGGCTGTCCAGTCTGAGGTGCCAGATCGCATAATAATTACAGCCCTGTTACTCAATTTGCAGTTGCAGATACAATTGATATTTTACTACAACTTGTGGCACATTGGGCTATAAATTGTTCCACAAATTTCTACATGTCAGAGCAACCTGTAGCAATATGATAATGGCATTTACAGGCCTTTAAAAGCATAATTATTGGTGCAGTATGTCAGATCTTGTCATTCCTCATTTCTATACCTTGATTTTGATGCGTTAATCCTCCTTTTGAACCATACCGATTGGAGCTATTTTATGCAATTTGGTATCAGGTAGTGCAAGATATTCAACATGGCGGGAAGTCGCTGGAAGGTTTCCACAGCTGCTATTGTGCTCATGGTCCTGTTTGTGCTGTAAAATGCAAGGTTCATCCCTCTCTTCCAGCAAGCGCTCATGCAAGCGCTCCAGCTAGCCATGTCTCACAGTGTTTGTGACTTCTCTGCGGTACAAAGAGGAGGTGGAGGGGGGGACTCAAATTATCCTGCAGAACAGAAAGACAAAAGAAACTGAAAGTGCTCAGAGAGAGGGAATGAGTAATGCAAGGAGGTTTTCCAAAGAGAAAGCCGGGCAGAGAGAGAGCGAGAGAGACAGAGAGAGGGAAGGCAAAGTGAGTGAGTGAGAGTGGGAACGAGAGAGACTGGCAGTGAATGTATTTAAGTAGGTCACAGATTATTAATAGAGATTCAGTGGTGTGGATAGAAAGAAAGAGAGGGGGGAGAGAAAGAGAGTGGGAACGAGTGAGAACGTGGGGAAAGAGGGATTGGGGGAGTGGAGCGAAGGGGACGGGCTTCAGAGGACATGAGGTGAGAATGGAGGGAAGGTGGAGGAATGGGGCAGATGGATGGAGGATAATACTGTAGATATGTGGCTGATATGTGGCTTCAGCTGTGTTGATTTCATGACGTGAAGCCTGATGAAAAGCAAAAGGCTGAAATGGCTCAGTGACATTAGAATCCAGCAAGGTGCACAGACTGATGGGCATTCAGGGGTAAAAATCTTTGAAACAAGTTGCATTAATCCTGTGGGGTATGCATTATATGTGTCTGTATCCTTGATTTATATCCTCACACCTTTTTTATAACCATCTCCTGCTGTTAGTGGAGGCAGGACAATCTGACAAGCACTGAAATTTAACAGGATTAGTCAGTATTCTTGTAAAAATGGAATCAAAGTGCCATTTTTCTTTTCTTTTTTTTATATTCACTGACTCATCCTCTGATATTTTCCCCCTCCTCTTCCTTTTTTCAGACTTTGCTGGTTTTGTCCAGTTTATCAGCCATCGCTCTTGTTATCTCCCTATTGGTGGTTCTCTCCTTCCTCATACACTACTGCTGCTGTCACCGTGGTGACCGGAACGAAGGATCAGAAGAAGAGGAGGAGGATGAGGATGGCAGCACGGGTCACGGTTACAGTGGGAAGAAGGGGCGGGGAATCTGCTGTGTCACGTGGGTGGCGGTGGCGGCTGTCACGCTCTGCTGGTGAGAAAGAGTTTTTAGACGTCACTGTACTTCCTGGCAAATGTACACACGACGCCTTTTGGCAGTAGTTGAAGAAGTATTCAGATGTTTTTCTCAAACAGAACCAATCACACTCATTTCTGGCTCATTATTTTTTATCTATAGACTCCTCTAGAGTCAGTTTGCATCATTCACAGCTCAAACCAATATCTATCAAAAACTGGGCCTTGGTGCAGCCCTCCAGTTCATCCTCTCATTGAAAAAGTAATTTTATCTCAGGGCACCTTCCCTTTAGGTCTCTACCTCCTGAATGCTTCAGAGTAACCCTTGACGCTCTTTTTGAACTAAACAGTTTCTGTCAGAGTGAGGGTCGTCTCTGCCTTTGCAGCTACCTTTGAAAAACCCAGAAACTATTTTAATGGATATCAGACCACATCTTTATTGATATGGGTTAGTCATCATCCATGCCCCTGTCTGCCTATCCCTCTTCTTTC